TGGGTGGGATGGCATCTGTAAAAAGTTAGGGCAATCATTGAAAATGATAAAATCCATTGTGCTTTCAGAAAAGACTGTAGCATGAGATAATCCCAAGAAGCCATAAGGAAAATATCTACAGAATAATTTAGTTTCCGACGGCCAATTTAATATCATTAACAACTTATCCAGAAAAAAAAGAAATAAAATAAACATGTGCATTTAGTTATAGGAGTAGCAAATTAATAGAGATTAACAAACCACTTCCAATTCCATTTGAAAGCATGCAGTTAACCCCATCCTTTGAAGGCTGACAGAGTGGTGGAAAATCATAGATGGTTTTGAATTGGGACAAGTTTATGACAGTTGATGCCTGGAGAGAGCTGACAGGCCTGCATACACTTTAATCAGATATGCCAAGAAAATAGTTCCTAATGGCCAGCAGTTTGCCCATGTATTTTTTTTTCCTTGAAAGTTTGGCATCCAAATAATTTTTTTTTTTAACCAGACTCATATATCGTGTCTCCTTTGACTTCAATATTTTAGTTTTTCACACACATATGACTTAACATATTCTCTAGTCAAGTTATGATGAGGAAATCGGAATAAACAAAAGTATAACCCACGTACTAATTTATGCCAGATCCAGTATTAGAATTCTTTATGCAGGATAATCTCTGTTGGCGGGAGGTCATCCTAGCTAATGAAGAAAAAGAATTGGCACAAATTCCTTCAGTTCTAAACCATGTAAAATACAGAGTTGCTGATGGCACATGACAATTTAAAGCTCCTGGGAAGATCGGACACAGTGGGTCATGTCTGTAATCCCAGCACTTTGGGAGGCTGAGGTGGGCAGACCACTTAAGGTCGGGAGTTTGAGACCAGCCCTTGCCAACATGGTGAAACCCTGTTTCTGCTAAAAATACAAAAATTAGCCAGGTGTGGTAGCATGCACCTGTAATCCCATCTACTCCAAGGGCTGAGACTAAAGAATTGCTTGAACCCTGGCAGTGGAGGCTGCAGTGAGCTGAAATCGCAACACTACACTCTAGCCTGGGCAACAGGGTGAGGCTCCATCTCAAAAATCAATCAATCAATCCATCAATCAATCAATCAATCAATTAAGCTCCTGGGTTGCTTTAGAGTTGTGCTGGGTTTTTTTTTTTGTTTGTTTGTTTTTGTTTTTTTGGAATCTGCCAATGTCTTTGAATGTGCAACTGAGGCTAAACCAAGACCAGAGCAGGTCCTATTCTAACTCCATGCTTTCAAATACAATATCCATTTATTAAGCACCTACACTGTGCAGACCACTTGTTACAGGTATGTTTCTACAGTCTTCTTCCACAATCTCCTATACACTTTCTTGCCCCTTTCCAGAGTGTTTCATCCAACTCTAGTGGCTCCATTTCTTTCTACCCACTCTTCAATTATCTGACTTCATTACAAATAATCATTCACAGTTGTTCATGTTTTTTTATAAATGTTTTTACTACTTCTGCATTGTGTTTGTTTATTTTGTTTCCCCTGTGAAATTTTAAGAATCTTGAGGGCAGAGACTGGATTTGCCAGGCCTTTCTTCTTTCCCACGTATCTGGGACAGGGTTCTGTATACATGGAGTTCACCAAATACCCCGTTTGCATACTTGGTCATCAACAGGAGTCTCTTGAAAGACTCAGGCATCTGACTGTTGGCAACACTAACTTCTTTTTAAATAAATGAGCCATCTTGCCGATCTTAAAATAGACACAAATACCTTCCATGATTTATTGGGAAATCCATGCCCTGACGATTACACTGAAGAAAAAAAGATGCTAGGAACACACCAACATTTTCTCATCTTAAGACACCTGAATTTTTTCCTTCATAGGAACTTTCTCCCAACCCATCTCCTTCCCCTATATATGTGTGACTCTCAGCACACAGGCTCATGGAGAAGCAGGGAATTTCTACACCAGTTTGCTCCATACTGGTTCATAAAATGACTGTGTGAATTGAGGCTTTATAACCCATGAGTCAGAAGTCTCAGAAACAAACAAACAAACAAAAAAACCCCAAAAATCCAAAGTATCCAGGTTTCAAAGAAAAAAAGTATTCATGCAGACATGGTGATGATCCACTGCATCACCACTGCGAATTAGTTGATGGGCGGCTTCCAGGCCAGGGAGCACTGGTACGCGCAGAAAGGCTTTTGGAGTCCCCTAGCACAGCATTTTGACAAGGTAGTTGCTGAGAACAAATACTTTTTCTCCTCTGGGATATGCCCGCCCCCATGATTGGAACAGCTTGTCCTATGCTGACCAGCTGAGCTGAAAACAGGCCAGATACCCAGAGAAGGCTAGGCCGGTCTGGGGCCAGGCTTTCTGGCTTTGCCCACCCTCTTGGCCAAAACCTTCCACAGGCTGGTGCTGCATTCATCTTCGCATAGCCTCCGCATTGGACAGTAGAAGCTTCAAACATTCTTTGAAGGAGCATCCTGGAAGAGTGAAGCTAATTCAGCGTGTTTCCTGTCATTAGGAAGAATAAACATCTCACTGAATCTGCAGCCCCCCCGCCACCCCGCCCTCCGCCCTTTCAGTGGAATCCCTGCAGGCCTCTTCCACTTTCACAAGCACCCATCTTTCACACCCACCCGCCTCAATCTTATCCTTTCATCAAGTTTGTAAATAAGTGCTCTTGAGATTTATTTTTATCTCTTTTGTGTTTATTAAACTTTGGACCATCCCCCCCGCCCCTTTTCTGGTCCTCTGCCCATCCACACTCTTTCTTTTTATGGCTGCCTCAGACCATGAGGTCAATTTTGTTTCTTCTTCTTCTAAGCAAATCATCCAATGATCCTGTCCTAGGCTTTTGAGCTTTGAAAGGGCGTTTGCAAATATTTACAGGAGTAGCTTGCTAGTTAAGTACAGTTGTTCAGCTGGGCTTCCTATACATTGGCAAACAGCCCTCCTCCCCTCTGGCTCTTATAAGCATTTAGGCTGTTTATATTTCAACTGTCTAATAACACAAATCTGCATTTTTGGTCCTTGTTTTATAAGTAGAAGTAGCTAACACACACAGTGAAAGGACTGCTGAGCAGCCTCCATCAGCCACTCTGCTTTGGTCTTGTAACCACAGCGAAGCGACCAGGCCAGGAGGAGCCGGCAGCCTTCCCTGCCTGTACTCCTGCTCCAGCGCGTGAGAGTGTGGTAAAAACTGTCAACTGAAGAACCGACTACCCCTTCCAGGGGTCGATGCCAGCTGTCCTGTGCTGTCATCTGCTCTGGGTCACAAGCCCCCTGGCTGCCTGAGGAAAGTGAGCAACTGGCCAAATGTTTCCTCATTTGGAAAAAAACAAAATTGCTGTAAATTGCGCTAGCAGCCTTTGACCCTGCCTTTACTTCATAAACACCCTATACATGCGGCAGGGAGACCCAAAAAGGCCCCTCGATGCCCAGTCGGGACGCAGCAGGCTCCCGCCCTCCACGGAGGGAGCTCGGGGTAGGGGCTTAATGGCTTGTGCAGCTCTGATCCACCCACTTAGTCTTGGAGGGATGGAGCTTTTTCCTCTGCTTCCTCCAAGAACTAATTTCCCCCTTTGGAATGGGAGTTCTCGCTAAAGTCCTCTGTAATACGCATCCCAGTTGCTATTTCGTTGCCAGGTGGTCAGGTACTTGTGCTTGACCTTTGCCAACTTATCCACACTCACATCCTGGCCCGCTCCCTTCTCTCAATTTCTGACCTACTTTTTCAGTTCAATCAAATCGATTTTCCTTCAACCCTTTGGATTTCACACCAGGACGCTGATTCTGGTCCTCCTCCCAGGCTTTCTCATGGGCCTTCCTCCCAGGGAAAA